GGAAGATGTTCCCCCGTCCCGGGAGGCCCTTCCGGGGGAAGGCCCCCGAAAAAATGGGCCCCCCCCCCCCCCGCAAGCCCCCATTCTCCTCAGAAAGGTTGCTACCTCACCTCCATCTGTCACTGTGACTTGGATCAGACATCCGCTTTTCACAGTCCCTTATTCAGCAAATGAAAATGAGGTATCCGACACTCCTTCCAAAAAATATTACATTGGTCAAGAAAAACATCACAGTAATGTTATACAAAAATGAGTTACATAAATATTTTTTTTATTGTTAAATGGGGAAACTAATTACTACAAACCAAATAGAACATGATTGCGTGCTCAGGAACATACTTTTTTTAAGGGGAGTTTCCAAAGCCTAAAGAAGTGATGAAAAACAGACCGTGTTTATCTTAGTTTCAAAATTAAGATTATGAGAATAGGTCCTGTGTATTTGCGTAACGTACTCACATTTTAAACCTCAGTCTGAAGATTTAAAAAAATATCAAAGCATCACATTCCTGTTCAATTCCTGTCCCAGTTGAGGACTAATTAATTTTTGAAATTATGTAACAGGACACCATTTTATTTAGGTGCCTGCAGATTTCTTTTTTGGGTAAAAGTTGAAACCAGTACAGCTGTCAGGACCCCAGCATTTACTAACAAATCGCTGGCTGTCTCTACTACAGCATCGCTAATCGAAATGTAAACTACCGGCCTTCGTAAAAACCAGCTCATCCCGTTAGACTGCGAGGAACTGGGCCATGTTGAAAAAAGAAAACGACTAAAATAACAGTACAAACCCAGACAATAACTCACTCTGAGAGGCCCTTGGCCTTGCTTATTAAACAGCAGGATACTTTGTTTTGAATAAATGTGCAAAAAGAAAACATGGAGCCTGTCCTTGCTGAGATGCAGGTTAAACCGTCAGGGCAAGAGAGTATCTCCACGCACATCCCACAGGAACCATCAGGATTAGGGAGCAAAGTCTCCCTGGTGAGCTCCTGATGGAGATGCCCAGTGCATAAACGGGGAATTCACTCCACAAACTGTTTATGTATTTCCACATTCACCCTTCCTAATCTAGCATTACATTTTGTTCAGTCTGGTTCTAACAGAATTTATTTAAAAACAGTCCTTTCCAGATGTGGACATGCCTGAAATCTTTACTAAAATTCACACTGATCAGACCTGTTGGATACTGGAGTCTGGTCAACAGTCCGGTCCTCTCCACCTTCAAGAACCATCTGTTCCATGAAATCCACTACTAGCCTAACGCCTCCTTACATTCCTTGGATGTCCTTATGTTGCACTTCTGGTTCATGAATAGTCTTATTACGTTCTTGTTTTGTTAGATGTTGTGTAGCTCGTGCTCCTGCACTGCTCACACTTGTACCTGGGTGTTCATTGTAAGCTCAGCATAGCTGCACTTATGCCTAATTGACTCCTAGGTTGCATATATGTTTGTAATGTGGTATTTGCCTCACTTGTATGGTACTGTTAAATATGTAACATCTGTTAACGCCTGTTACATATGTAAAGTGCAATGTAATATAGTGTAAGTTTTAGAGGTCCATTAGTTAAACCAGTCAAACACCTCTGAACACACTCATTTCTGATTTACATTTCCTTTGGCTTGTCCTTTGTACACCATCACTCAAAGGACAATCTGTCCTGTTCATCTAGTTGATTGGACCCACTGCTGCAATGTCCACCACTCTTAACTGAGACAAAATCACCCTAAGGCTACATTCGAGTTACTTTGTATTTAAAAAAAAAATGTATGAATCTTAGTCATTTTAGAATAGGCCTGTCATGTAAGTTGTTAACCTGCAAGGTACCATGTTTGTAAACATCGCTACATCGACCTCCTGTTTTCATTTAATTTAACCTACCGCTTTTAAGTTGAAAATATAAAAGGATTTTTGTCTGTTATATATTAGATTTCACCCATTTGTAGAGACGAAGCTTCATCTTCTTTTAAATCGATTTTCCCCGCAAATTATTTATGGCCGTCTTGTAGTCCTGCACCCTAAACTATCGGCATGATCCATTTTTCAGCTCTCAGACACACCATTTAGGGGTTTTGCGATTTGTTCTCATATAAAATATACCGTCTGATGAGTTTAACAGTGTTTTAAAACTTGTATCTATTTACTCTTTAAAAACGGCGCTCCGCATGCGCGTCCGTCCGACGCTGCTGTACTGCCTGGGGGGGCGAATCAGCTCGGCATATTTATCACAGTAAAAAGAGACTTCCGCCTTTAATATATTATACATAAAACATTATATATGCAATCGCACGATTATATTTCAAAGTATTACATAAAAATATTTTCCAAACACAAGACACTGCCCTACGAGAAAGCAGCTGTTAACCAGCCGGGTTATAAACTCACACACCCCCATTGAATGCTTTTCAGAAAGAACCGATTCTACGATTTAATCCATTTAAGGAGGGGCTCAGTTTTCAGTGGGGTCTCCACATTTTTCAGAAAAAGTACCACCCACGACAAAATTTGCCATGCTGCTATGGGGGTCGCCGACGATAAAACTTCTCGAGTTGGGGTGGCTACGAAACGTACGAAAATATGGGACAAATCACTAAATGAATTTAGAAAAATAATTAACACTATTCGAGGCGTCACAAATATTTACTTGATGTATTAATTAACCAGAAACTAAGTTTTAGATAACGTACACGTTCATTAATCAACCATAACGGTTCATTTATTTCATGCTAGTAAGTAATTGAGTAGTAACTGAGTTACCAAGTTATTTGTGTTTCCTCAAGTAAGTTTTCAAAGTGCTTAGAGTGTTGTCAAATAATGTTTCAACGGAGTTGAGACAAGAAAACGGGGTGGCTGAATTCACCCTAAACAAGTTCTAAACCGCCTTGCATCCCTGCTGCCTTTAGCTACCTTCCACTGCTGTCATGTAATCTTAAAAGGGATTAATTGTTTTGGAAAAGGGAAATAAAAACCGCTCGAAAAACATTGTCCAGTAACTTGGCGCTTTGACACATTGCAAAGGCTGCATGTGCGGATTTATTACCTTCCTCCGTGCGTATTATAACATATCCTGGCCATAACGGGGCTTCATTACACGGATTGATGTTTACAGCGCAGTAGATGCCGCGTAACCCACGGCCACAAATCTGGGACAAGACCTGACCAGCCCGGAGACGCGATCATGTCCGACGAGACTAAGTGCATCTGTGGTCTTATTTTATGATGTTTACATAAATGTTTAAAGCAAGGTGACAGGATAATATCCGGGAAAAAAAAATCATTATTTTCTGGGGAACTTTGGATGGAATTCTTCTGGAAGCCGCCCCTGCTTTACCTAACCCACCGAAAGAGACGCTCCGGAGATCTCCTGAGGAAACGCTTCCCAGGATGTGGAAATGCAGTCTGACAATCGCGAGTTCCCTGCAGGAGCCGCACTATTTCTTCTGAAAGCTCTTTTACCGGAAGACGTGGCGAATTAAGACGGGAAAACACCGCGGGTTACTTTAGTGTCACCTACCATTAAAGAGCCTTAATCTTCCTGTTAAAAGATACTTCCCCAAAATGGGTCAGAGTTAGACACCCCCCTTCTCCTGCTGGCATGCAGCCGCCGATGGTGAAGATGGAGGGATTGCAGGGTCATTTATCTGCTGCCAGGCTTGGCCGCTCTCTCCGCACTGGTGGTGGGGTGGGGGGAGGCGGGCAGGACAAGGCAAGCGGGCAGCGCCTCTGAACCAAACGGGCCACCTGTCGGGGGCAGGAGAGATCCAGCCTGTCAGGGTGTATTTACTGAGTCTGTAGCCTGACAGAGGTGCCCTAAGCTGGGGGTAACTGACCCCCACATACAGCTTCCCTTCTGAGCTCAGACTGTGGGTCGGCTTCACTCATTCACCGCGTGATAACTTAACCTCATACCGTTACCCGGCCAGTTTAGCCTGTATATATGACACATTATGGCCAGCCTAAAGCTGAAGCCAGATGGTATACTCTGGATTTTTTACATAATTTTTTTTCATTAATGTTTTTTATGTTAATTTAACATTTAATTTATGTGATTTGGAAAACCACCAATTCAGAGTGCATGGCTGAATAAGACATGATTGTGAAGTACAGTCTAAATACAAACTGGATACAAAAAATGTAACTGTGTGTGTGTGTATATATACATACATATATATATATATATATATATATATATATATATATATATATATATATATATGCACTAATAATTTAATAATTCTGTCAGTTAACAATTGAATATCCCATAAAGCCAGCAGCTGAAGCCTCCGGAACAGTGTCATGTTTCATAGCTGCCGCTTTGCACACCGGTCCTAATGAAAATCTGGTACACATTACAATAGGCCGTAATTATGCAATAAGGAGTATGCAGAAAGCTATGCTGCGTAATTATGTAATAGCTCGACGTCGCACTCAGCAACTGGATACGTCCCGTTGTATTAGCCGGTGTCGTAAACGGAGAGAGAGGCGACGCCGTCCAGGTGACCTTCGCGCGGCACCCCGACCACCAGGAGCTACACTCAAGTGTTAAAAGCAGTTAGTCTGTATTCCTAATAAATCAGCGCTGAATTTTTTGTGCCATTGATCAGTAAACAGTAAAGGCTTTTTTTCTGGTTATCATTGTGTTTGCCGGCACTCGTGAAGAACACGGTAAGCTACTCCCCCAGGGGGTCACCATTCGGCACCACTCTCCAGCACCCGCCTGCAGGGGCCCAGCCGGCGCTCAGGCTCAGATCTGAGGAAGCCTAACCCCCAGTTTACTCATAACGTTTGCCTTTCTTGGCTCCCCCTTCATTTTGGTGACATAGTCAGCGGAATGGTGTGCTATGGTGTCTCCACAGCCTCCCCAGAGGGCCCTAATGAGGCAGATTCCCCAGTGAACGAGTATCAGCAGTTTCACAGCTGGGTCCCCGACTCGCAGAGTACCACACTGACAATGCCGTCGCTGAAGCCACTGGCAAGGTTTTTGCCAGGGTCGTCGCCGAGGCCATTACCAGGTGCTGTCGTCAAGGCCGTTGCTGGGCACTGTCGAAGACACTGGTAAACGACCCAACGCAGAACACAATCACAAATAAAACTGCCAGCTTTTGCTTGTTCCATGTGATTTCAGACCGCACTCGACCAGCTGCAGTGCCTGTGAACTGCATTCTGTTTCCATGTGTTCACCAGGGTGCTGCTGATTATACACTTTCTCTGTAGGGTCATGTGTCTGGTATGTGGCACCGTTTCATTTATTTTAATATATGGGTCCCTCAAGCACATGGATTTAGTGCATGACACTTTGGGATTATTTTCAAAAATCTTTGTTTTTTGGCCATCATTTTCATTCAGGTTTTGAGGCAACCAAAAATGACAAAAAATTAAATATATGAAAAAAAGTTTAGTATTGGAAATATTTTTCACAGAATGAATATATAATAATGAACGCTGGAAAACATTTTTATGCTCATAAATGCAGATGATACTGGGCCATTTCTGCCCCCTGGGACAGTGAAGAATAACCCCAGTTTGTTTGCGTTTAAGTTAACGCTCATGTTGGATTTTCTCCCTTCACAGTGGTGTTGCCCTGCCCTCTAGTGGTCTTTCATTGAACGTCAAGCTGGTAAAGGACAGGCCCCCGTCATGTCTCGCATCTCCGGTAAGTTCAAGGTCAGGGCCCGGCTATTTCGAGCTCGTCTCTCCTCTGATCCGTGCCGTGAAATGACAAGGTGGTCCGCTCCTGGGTCAGCTGTATTACAGGAGTGCGTGCATAAATCAGGCGGATGTAAATCAATCCAGGCTGACAATGACTTCAGGATACGCATTCGTACTGGGCGCCGGCCGGCATCCGTCTGCGCACCGTCCTCCCGACCACCGCGATCAAAACCGTGCTAACTTGTCATTTCCTGTTAGTGAATTGCTCCGCCAAGGTAAATAACCTTTTTGATTAGTCGCCATCTGACATCCTCTGTCCACTGTCTGACAACGTGCACTTTCTGTTTCTACCTCCTGATGGAAATGTGTGTGTGTAACTTTAGGATTATCCCGCTTGTTGGGTGATGTTTATGCTGCGACTGCTGGTCAGGTTGGTCAGAGAAGCACGCAGGATTTAAATTATGCTGCCTGAAAACCCCAGCAGTGACGGACGAGGATGTGTTTTAAAAACGTTTTAGAGACATCACCAGTTACCGTGAACAGGATCTCATAATGAGCATCACAACAGTCAGTTTAAAGTCTCGCGCAACCCCGCATTTAACATGTTCATGATTATGCATCCAAAGCATGCTGGGTCACTATACTATGTATGCTGTGTATGATACCGCTAGTTCTGAACAAAACTCACCGTTAAGATCCTCGTTGACATTGTCTGCCGTATGAAATAGGTGACACCTTGCAATCTGCATGCAATCAGTAAATGGCTTTGTGAATTTAGGCAACTGCTTTGTTTCTGCCATCTGGAAAATGCAAGTACACTCATCCAAAGATCCAGAACAACAATGCGACTCAAATTAGACTTCAGGGACCTTGGTGATTTTATTTGCAATTTCAGGCCCATTAAAGATTCATCTGGATACTTCAGGCTCCTGCTCGAAGAACACAAACCTTCAGTCATACATGCAGCAGTCAATAGGTCAGGTGAAAAATGCATCTGTTGAATCTACAGCACAGAACAAAAACTGGCCCAGAATCAGTCCTGGATTCCCAATCCATTAAAATAAATAATTAAAAACTTTCAGTTTAATTTTGAGCAATTTGTGGAGAACTTTAATTACCGTGTATCCTTGTGGCCAAACAATGCTTGAATTGGCAGCCATTTGACTGCCTTGCAGGTCATTGAACATTCTAGTTAATTACGGCGTGAATAGGCTGTTTTTCCAACCCGAAGAAGCACACGGCACCAGCAGAGGACGACCGCCTGACAAACGTGTCATCTGCATACAGTAATTAGCCAGCAAGAACCACATGAAACATTAAACGTGCTTTGTGCCGTCGACAATCAAAACATTTCATTTGTTGTCAATTATTCATCACTTTGAAGGTTCTGAAGGACCTGTTAATATGGAAATCAGCCCAGATGCTAACAAGGTTCGAGGGTCTGATTTGGAGCCGAGATCGTCTGAACGAAAAAAAAAACCACTTTCTTCTCTTAACCAAAAAAGCACTTCCGTTTTAACCCCATATTCCATTCCCCACCCCCTGCCACAACAATGTGCTTTATATTTTTATATATTACATTTTTGTGTGTGCTATATGGAATAGTTCTGAAAAAGAAACTTACTTGAGCCTTTCTGTGATTTAAAAAATAAGACTTTCATCTGTTTCTGGCAAATTGCATTAGCCTTTGATGGAAATTTTTGATAATCTTTGAAGCTCCTTGTCTCTACCCAGCAACAGTGGGACAACATGAATTGGGGTCTACGCAACACGAGTCTCATTATACAACTTCGTACAAATATAAGTATCTGCACTCAGCAGTTAAACCACAAAACTCATTATTGTTTGAAGACCACATCTTAACGAAAAGCAGTCTGGCTGAACCGGAATTTACCTAAGATAGTGCTTCATGAAAGCTCTCGTGTCATCTGCATGCTTTTCTCCAGCTTTTTCATCTCCCGCATGCTTTGTTTTTATCTCCGCTCGCTTAAACTGCGCGATCTCCCAGCGTTCGTGTTCAAACGGGAACACGAGTGTCCTCGAGGCTGCACGGAAGTCAGCAAAGCGCTTAAAAAAAACCCGCTTTTCTGCGTGAAAATGAAGAATAATCTCTAAAGAGTAGTTTCAAGGGACACGATATCAGAGTGGCTGGATACGGACGGTGGCTTGGGCTCGTCTTTAAATCGTTTCTGCGCTGACAGAAATCCTAGGAGTGCCTACCCGTGCCACCTGTCAAATCAGAAAGATGTGAAGAGTAGGAGCAAGCCTACGGGGGAGCTACTTAAAGTAATTAAATCTGATGCGTGCCGCTCTTAATCCCAATTACCTGCAGGACCCTGCACTCCTCTGTGCCCTGGGCAATACAGGCTGGGTAACCGGGTGTCTGTGTCAAACGCCTGCATGAGATAGGATGGCGCATCATCCTGTCAATGTCTGTCAGGTGTTACTGGGCTTCAGCTGCTGCTGGAAAGGCACCTTAAAATGACATCAGCAACATCACATGAGAAATTATCAAAAGAGGAAAGAAAAATAAACATTTTATTTAGCAGGTGCATTCATCAAAAGTCTTTTCATCAAATCGTTTTTGAAAAAGCAGCATGACAGCCCCTGGTGCAGTTGGGGGCTAAGGACCTTGCTCAAGAGCCCAAAGGTGATATCACCCTGCCAACACTGGAATTTGAACCAGCAACCTTCCAATCACAGGCAAAGTGTCCAAATCGGCTCAACCACACACCTCCCTGGAGCATCAGGAACCCTTGCAGAACAACATGTGAAATAGGGATCTCGAACCACAACTCTGTGTGCGGTCAGTGGAATGAGTTTGTAATACAAAATTGCAAAATTTGGCAAGCAACACAACATATTAAAATTTTTTATAAGAAATAAAATGTACCATGAGAAATTATGCCTCTTTGTTTTTAGCTTTTCTATGCTCGGGCCAAGAGAAGAAAAGATGAGGGAAGAGATGAGGGTGCTGGAATGAGGAACATGCATGCCCCAGGCACACGCAGGGATCTGGGCTGTCTGCTCAGGGCACCATGCTGCTTCTCAGTCTCACCGATGTCAAAGGTCAGGTGTTGTACAAGAGCCTCTGCTGACAGCAATCGGCTGACGTGAAGAAGGCTGGAGTGGGCCTACAGCGGGAGAACCTGGCTCCGAGACAAGCCAGTGTGTCCTCCTGAATTTCCAACATGTCCGCTGGAACCGCACCAGAACGCGCTCGTTGCCAGGAGTCGGATTGAACAGCATCTCATTTTTACATCTGAATGAGATTGGAAACAAAGACTCTATCTCAGCAGTGTTGTTTGTATGCGTTTACCAAAAGCGGGCTTCTTGTTATCAATACTGCAATACTTGGAAAATGTCTTTCTTATCATACACATCCATTCCCTCCAGATCACTTGGAATTTGGAATGGTTGACCTATACATAGGCTACATACATACATACATACATACATACATACATACATGTGTGTGTACTTTCACTTAAAATGACTTTCTCATTAGCACATGAAATGTATACCTAGCCTATCCATTTAGCTAAAATGCTTTCTTTTAAAATATAAAGATAAGAGTTATTGCGCAAAAAGAGAGCATGCACGTGCATACATTTGTGTATGGACGGTAAGGACACGTCTCTACCAATGCCGTGGGAGTACCTACGTGTGTGTTCAGGGGAGGCTCGGTTCGGAGCATGAGCGTCGTTAGGTCCGATTACTTATGTAGCGCCGAATATGTTAAGCCTAGCACCGACTATTTTAGCACCGAGGCCAATCTTCCTTCAAGCCCCAGGTAACTTTAACCCCTGATCTTTTAAAAAGCTAGAATCTCCACTGGATCGGAGTTGATTTTACTTTTACATTTTACTTTGTATCATTGCATTCGTGGTATTTCATAGAGGAGTTGCAGGTTGACGATCTCCAAACGGTTTTGATTTGATCCGTTTTTATTTCGCTCTTCTAAAACGGTGACAAATGCAAATCCCGCGTCGCTCGCCAGCTGGGCGTGGGGGCCCTCATTAGTTTTAAAGAAGGTTAATGCATTTAGCTTTTGCATATTGACATGCCAATTAAGTGTAATTGTGGGAGAGGCATCCGTCAAGGTAATAGCGCAGAAACGTGCGCAGGCACATTAAGGACGTCCCGACACGTTATAAAGTAGGTGTTAATTGGTAACCGAGCACAGCTAGTTACTGAGGTGTGTAATGCTGAGGAGAGATGGATCACTTGTAATTCTCCAAAATAATTCCGTGTTTGACCTCATGCTGGGATGATTCAGCCATTTCTGATAAAAAAAAAAAAAGGACAGACACGGGGAAGGAGACAACAGGGGTCCATTATTTCTGGTGCATTTAATTTGCCCCTAGTTGAACTTTAAAGAACTCCGTGATCGTTTTACCTCTGATATATAAAATATAATATTTGCACGTACAGTGTGGCTGACATCTTCTACAATATGTTTCTGTTGGATTTGTGCAGTCTTTGGACGCGTTCCTGTCCTGGGCGTGCGTGTGTTATCTCTCGCCTAAAAGCGTGCCGCGTTTGCCGAGATACCCCACGGTCTGTGAATTATAACAACCGAAAAGTAGAGCTGAGCCTTGACAGGGAGCCAGTATTTACACCGCAGCCCTGGGAGTGAAATGTCAGAGTCACTGAGATCAGTAGGAGAGGACATGACCACGGCCCCGCCATTCCGAGTCAGTCTCTTAATTTCTATCTATTTATCCATCTAGTCATCACTCGCGTATCCAGTACAGGGTCATGGAGGCATGGATCCGATCCCATGTAACTCATAACCCTATACCGGATACCACGTACGTGTGTTCGGACTGCTGTAGTAAGCCCACACTACGCGGGGAGTCCATTAGAATTCCACACACGCATTGGGATTAGAAAATTAGTCTCCCCTTACTCTTTTTTTCCCCGTTAAGTGTAGCTCATCTCAGAGTATTTTTTGTGTGTTTTTCTCCTGTCAGACAAGCGGTGAAAACAATGGATCCCATACAAAAAAGCATATTAATATGATTGTTATAATTAACAAATGAGTGCAGTCATGTTTAAAAATAACACAAAATACTTTAGGCTCATTTACCCCTATTCTCAAGGAAATTATTTAAAAATTCTTGACTGCACTAAACAGTGCCGTGCAATTTTTTCGAGGGGCAGTTGCTCGACCGGAGGAGTCTCCCTCGCTAAATTTTGCGCGATCGAACAGGGGCGCTCAGAACCAAAAAAAAAGGATCTTTCACTCTACACGTGTCTGGTATCCTTATAAACGCGCTATACGGAATTCATATTCTAGCTACTCCGCAGTTTACCACTAGAGGGCATAAGAAGCTCGAATTTTATTTATTAAATCTTTTTAGAGATTGCTGTGTACATTATTTGGTCTTCACCAGTAGCGGAAAGAATGTTTGATTATAGAGTCCGGCGGAGCACACCTCCACCCTCTTATGACCAAATCGCACCTTGCTGGAGCGGCGCTCCACCTTCGTCAATGTTAACTTTTTTTAATGTCCCAAACTTAGTAAAACTGTTTAACAGAAGGTTAATTTTGCGCTGAAATCACGTTTTTTTCATCAGCTTTTAGTAGATCTTAAACCTTAATTATGAGCTCTGACCCAGACATTCATTTTTCGAATAGATGAGATACCTTGGTACCTCGGTATACGTCCTTAATCCGTTCCAGATCCTTGTACTCTACTGTGCGGTATAAACGGTATACAATAGGCTATAAATTTGGCAAACTGGCAGAGATTTTGATTATACCGCCCTACCGCAGAAATTTCCGCTCCTCGCCCACAAAAATTACGTAATCAAGTCGCGTCTAATAATAAATAATTTATTATATTATTTATAGCCTATGAAAATTATTTATATGATTATTGCTGCACCTGGCAGCAGAGTCCTGCACGGGTCTGATTTTGAAAAACCGCACCCGCCCGAACCCGTCATACTTAAACCCGTATCCGAACCGTTATCCGACAAACATAAAATAAAATTCCGCACCCGATCCGACCCGCTATACATAAATACCGACACCCGACCCGCACCCAAATGAAAATCAGTCAGATAGCCAAAATTAAAGACAAAAGTTTATTGCTACAACAAACGACCAGTGACGTGTGCATCATCAGTTGAAAAGGCATAGCCAAAACGTTGCTTAATAACAGCCTAATGATAAGCAAAACAAATGGTAGTAGCCTACCTCCAAACTCAAATAATGTTTGATATTGCCATGCCCACACATAGACTTAGGCTACCAGCTTATAACCAAATGTGTTAATAAAACTAAAATTATATAAATTGTACATTAGGCTACCCTGCACATTATTAGGTTGTATAGGCTACATATATGTGCACTGTCCATTTTCCTTTGATTACCCGATTGGAATTCCTACGCGAAGGCATGAACTAGTGTTTGGTGTGATGCTTTATATTACTGTGTAAAAAAGGATATCGTCCACAGCTGATGACCTCAGCTGACTCCATCGCTCCTGATGGCGCTGGAGACAGGTGTTGTGCCCTAATCTGCCCCCCTGCCACGGATTGCCTCCCCTGACGCCATCGCTCCATTTAAAGGCAAAGTCGCTTCTTCAGCGCAGCAGAAGCGAACGCTCGCTGTAAATTAATTTCCTTGCCCTAAATAACCTCAAATTAGTTGTTTATTATGCCATTTTACAACCAAACCTTAAGTTATCATTCACAACCTCCTGTAATTCGTCACAAATGTGACGGTAACTTTTTCATTAAGACGCTACAGTAATGCTTTTCTTCTCGACAATGCTCGTCTGTGCAAATACAGTCGCTTTCAGTCGCAAGAAGGGACTGATTTAGTTGAAAGATATTTTTGACACTTTGTTGAATCCGTTCTGCTGAAGTCTTTCTTCTATTCTGTCGTCATATAATATAATACGGCGTTTAACTTCATACTCAGCACTGTCACGCCTGGAAATGATCTAACATCGATCCACAGAACAAAAGTAATCAAAAGTCACCAAAATTTCACCACTCACTTTAAACGCCGTGTGTACATTACAGCTAACAAGTCGTATTGCAAATCGTCCATCCATAAGGAAAAGACTCTAGAGGGGGGGCATTTTATAGTAGGCCACCTTGCCACAGAATGCCCCCCCTATCTAACTCTGGCTGGGAAACTGCTACATGCACCAAACTTGCACCAGTCACTAATATGTATCCCTTATATATGCTGTATGAATTACTTTGGGCTGGACCATAAGGCTGAGATTCTAGATGGGGGGGCATTGGGGGGGGGAGATTCTAGATGGGGGGGACTGTAAGATATGTAAAAATAGAAAAAAAAAACAGAATTTCATAAACTTTCTCAATAACTCGGTTTTTAATCAATAAGAATACAATTAACAGTAATGACAAAGAAATAAATAAATAAAGAAAGAAATATGACATTCGTAATAAATAAAATTATGTGGAGCAATTATTAAATTAACACAAATGAACAAAAAATGTAATCAAATTAAATGAAGTCAAATCAAATTAAATTAAATCAAATTAACACAACATTATGTGCAATAATTATTAAATTACGTAATTTTTTTTACATGATCTTCACGAGTGGGGAGGCACGAGATTCGCCATGGGGGATGCATGCATTGCACCCTACTGCCTAGTGGCTGGCTAGTATTCATGTGCATACTGGGCACAAGTAGTCCTTCTCCACTGAAGGATGCTGAACACAGCTAGACTAATGTTAACACCAAGCCTGCATTGCAGAGTGTAATCTGATTTATCAAAACAATTTTTATATACATTCTCTCTCTCTCTCTCTCTCTCTCTCTCTCTCTCTCTC